ACTACTATATATAATATGATAAACATGAGAGTTGCTTACATTCCCTTGTTTTCTGTGGTAACACGATTTTATTTTTGTATTATTGTTTTGACGTGGGAAAGTACGACATTTCTTTTTCTGCTCTCTGTTTTTTTTAATCAGAAACCACTGCCTCATGCTTCGAGCTTCATCATTACTATTAACATGACCATGAGTGGACGAGAGTTATCGGTTCAGTAGAATTCAGTATTTTTAATTTATATTTGTATTTGTATTAAAAGATATTTAATATGCATAGTTTAATTTATTCAAAATTCATAAATAAAAACAAAATAGAATAGGAAATTTGTAGAATATAAATCCAATACTAAAGAAAGGGGAAAAAAATGGAAAACTTAACAAATGGCAATTGATTCTTGTTCAATTCGTGGAAAAATAATTTAATGTTTAATCAACTGTACCATTTAAATTTATAAAATATGTAAATATAATACTAGAAGTAGGATTAATGTCGACCAACAAATAATAGTAGATCAATTCTAAAAAGTAAAATACTTTGGGTTGTGCATAAATTTAAAATCTTAACTATGCTTCTGATCATATGACCTTTTTTTCCTATGTATGGTAATCGCTAGGGTCCGATTAATCCCGATCTCACACTAGAAAATCTTACTTTGACAACCTACCAAAGGAGATTTTATATCTAGAGATCGAACGTAAAATTTGTATTTAAGAAATGAAAGAGTAATTTTATGATTTTAATTTGATTTTATATGAGACGCAACAACTTCCTGATGTTTTTGTTTCTGTTGTGAACACTCCTAAAGAAATTAGGGATTTCATTGCGAATCTGTCATTGTTTTGTTCGTAGCTATAATAGAAATCGATCGCTAAATAAAATCAACGATGAAATGTGTTGTTTATATACAAAATCTATCTGTCGCTAATTTTTAAATCAAATTGTTTTTCCCTTGGCAAGTACTTATTTTACACAAACTTTTATGGTCATGATAAAAGCACTGTCATGGACTTAGCTCAATTTTTTCCGACAAATATTAGTGTTTTGGCCAGCTGCTTCTGTGCATTTCCAAGAGTATTTCATTTCTGCCTATTTACTATTTTTATTCGAATAAATATCAGATAAGTTTATTCATTAAAATTCAGATAAATGTCAAAATGTTAACTCAGCTTGCTCTCCAATAATTTTAAGATTAAACTCTTTTTGTATTTAAAAATCTAATACGGAAATTAATCCTACACAAATATTGTGACTCAAATATTACGCATACGTTCTTATATAAAATCAAACACTTAAAAAGGATGATTTTTTCACTCAAAGATGTAAACTTGGTTTTCTTAATTCCTACAACACAAGAACTTTTAAAAAAAAAAAAAACTAAAAGGACCTCCAACATAAGAACACATTTAGAGGGAGTAATTTAAAATAACCAAAAGAAAGTAAGAAAAAAAAGAGTTAATACTAGGGAGGGCTACTTTCATGGTAGATAGCCCAATTAAAGGAAATTAATCAGCTATCATAAGACCAGAAATAATTCTTCAATGGTAGAAAAAAAAAAAAAAAAACACAATCTGACTACTCATCGTACGTATGTTTTTGCTGCAGGAATAATTTTAATTACAGTAATTTTTAGTATATGATAATTATAAAGTGTCACCACTTTCATATCTGCAATTGTGTGGAAGCATTTGTCAGGCCTGGACCATTTTGACTCTAGTCAAATGAAATTCTAACTTCCATATTTTCCTCCTTTCTTTTTTCTTTAAGAGCAATTTTCAGAAATGATTATTGTTTAATTAGCTCAAATTAACTACTCATAACTATAGTTTTGGAATTTATAATTGGGACAATGTTTTGATTTCAAGTTGTTGTTTTAACTTCTCTCCGAGAGTTTTACTCTTTTTTTCGTACTTAATAACTCGAACTCATAATCTAAAAGTGGAAGGTACTTACCATTTGAGCAATATCTTTGGTCTTCCACCTTGTTAAGATGGTTGTTAACGTTGTATATTGTTAGATAAAATACAATATGTATATATTTGTTTTGATTTTTATTTAAATTTTATTGTATTACATCGTTTAAATTCATCATTAGGTAACAACAAAAAGTCTCATTTTGTGTGATAACGACCGGTTTGATGTGATCACGTAGTTATTTTAATATTTTCTTCTCATTTTGTCTTTACTTATTACTAAATAATTTCATTTTATCCCTAACTCTACCTTCTCATAGTAGCTCTACTTCGTACCCTACTTTTTCGGTAGGTTTCATCATTCAAATTATTTATGTGTGGCATTATATAAAATTAGAGAACAATATAATATAACCAAATATTGTATTCATTAAAATACTATCGTTCGATATTTTAATACAATACAATAAGTAACAACCATCCAAATAGAACCAGTGGCGGAGCCACCTTATAGCTAGGGGGAACCCCCTCGACGGAAAATTATATTATTTATACATGGTTAAAATAATTTTTTTAGTTATATATAGTAGGTGTTGAAGCCCCTTCGACTACTTCATGTGTCTATTTCTTTGAATTTTGAACACCTTTATTGAATATCCTAGCTCCGCCACTGAACAAAACAGTGCATAATTGCAAAGCATTGGCTGATTTAGCGTTTAAACAAGACCTTTATATATATATATATATATATATATATATATA